TTTTATCATTAAAGCATCATTCTGGTTAAAGATCTTCTCCATGCTGGTGTATGAACCACTACAGAGATGATTTAAGTAATTATCAATGCTGGTAATTTAGGGCATAAACCTGACATTGGATTTGTTAAGTCGTGTATCCTGACTTTTTTTTTCAGATTAGGCTGAAAAAGTACTCGCTGTACTTCAAAAAGTACTTCTTGTACTGTGTGAGAACTTTGCCGTTTACACTGTGGGACATTCTCTCTTTTTTTTAAATAGTCGTTTGTTTTAAAACTCACACTCACCAGAACATTGAGCAGCGTTGTTTAGCTTCTCGCTGACGTGTGACTCTGAGCCTCCTCAGATCCATCAGCATCAGAGCGCTTCGGTGCTGCATCATAAAGATTTATGGTTCTTTTAAACCCGCCACAGATCATCTCTGCTGTATGTTTTACTTTCTCCCAAGACTTTTACTTGCTGCTAACCTGTCACACGGCGAGCCTCGTGAAGCATTGTGATTACAATACATTTTTATTGATTAAAAAAACAGCCGTACTTTTCATATTTTAGTATCTTCAGTCTTTTTGTGTGTGTGAATTGCTTCAAATCATAGAAGAACTTGGAAGAATGCAATCTTTGAAATAAGGTGCGTTTGTAGCTTTTGAAGCATGAAAGCTAATTTTGTTGTGAACAAAAGACAAAAATAATGAGGTGTGTGTGTGTGTGGCGGTTCGGTATCAGTTCAAGCCTCCTGCAGCACATTTCACTCACAAACTTTGGGTAAGTTTGCTTTCTATGCATTGCAAAAGTCATATTGTGTTTGCTTTAGCGTAGTGTGTTATATTTGCACAGGCTGTGTCTGCTGTGGTTCTGCCTCCTCTATCCTCCTCTATATTCTATTTAAAGCGGCGTTTAAGGACGTTTAAATTAAATAAAGTGACTGTGATGTGGACCTGATCACTTTTTTCTGCTCTTTTCTCGTGTTCCCCACATCGGCGGCTACAGAGAGGCTGATAATCAAGAACAAATCCTGCGTTCAGTATCAATGATTTTCAATACTGTATGAAATATGTGATGTTTTTCTGAGATCAGAGGCTACAGTAATGTCTTGGACTTCATTGTGCTGTGTTTTGTTTGCTCGTTGAAGTTTTTGCTTTGAACACTTTGAGCTATGACACCATATATTCACTGTTTGTTCCAGTTTGTTAAATGCATCAAAAATGAATCCCAGTTTCCTAAATATCCTGATCTTCTGTCTAGTTTGCATTATTTTCCTTTCTTCTCGTGTGTTTTCTTGCCGTCACTTTGCCGTGGCGATGCAAAACGTCTCCACCGTCTGATCTGAATGTTGGTGTGAGAGCGTAACATAAGGACACACTCGGTATGCACTTGTTTTATTTACAACACACAGCACTTTCTTTATGCATGGAATGGATGGATTAGAAACAAAATTGTCCAGAGCAGACAGTATACAGTCTGGCTTATATATATACATATTATGCAATGTGTTTTCTCCTCAGACACTGTGCCTCAGAATATATGCACGTATCTGTGTATAACATCTGGCTGCAGTGGCTTTAAAACGCTCCTGGTCTCCTCGGTACCCTTGCCTCTCCGGTGTATCGACTGCTGTCTAATCAGCTTCATCTACTTCCTTTAATGACACTCCAAATTAGCCCTAATGCTTAGCAGCATGTGTCAAGGCAGACTTTAAAAAAAAAAACAAAAAGCACTGAGCCGTCTGAAGACAACCACGACATGTCAGAGCATCGAGACCTCCGGCTTCTCACAAAGTATTTGTAGTGATTTGAAAAAGACCATAAGTGTGAGCGACCTTTCAGAGTTGATTTACCTCTCAGAGATGAAAACCCGCTTGCACCAGATGAATTGTTTGTTGTTGATGCAGTAACAGAAGGAGGAGGATTACTGCGAGACTAGAAAAAAATACTGCATTTCAAACCCACTTTATTGACAGCTTCTTGCCCTCAATACAATGCAATGCAAGATTTGAGGTGCTGAGCACACAGGAATAAATACGGCAATAAATACAGTACCGACTTGCCTCGCTGGCCGTGTTTAATTCACACTTGCTGGAGCCATCAGACCCTCACCACAAACACACAAACTGATAAGACAGCACACACAACACTGAGCCAAAGGCTTTTTGCTTTCACCTTAAATTACAGTGATCATGGATCAACATGGACTGATATGCACGGCGACTCAGCACTGCTTCAGGAAAGCAACGGCGCTCCTTTCTTTACATTTTCTTTCGTAATTTTCGACAATCACGTGAAGATCTGGAACAGCAAGGACAGACTGGAAGCTAGTAATTTTACATGGATTGTAAAGCGCCGACGGCTCGGGGATCCGCCGACGCGTCCTGCAGAATCCTGCGACGCTGATCGGTCACTTCGTTTAACCATAAAGGGAAAGACTGGTACAAGAGTGATCCATGGTCAACAGCTATGAAAGAATGACATCATAGTTCAACAACGGCATGCATTGCCTTTATGTACGTTTTAAGTTTTTATCTGTCACAAATAATGATGAACAAAGGTTCGAGCCATCAATTACTGATCGATCAATTGAAGAACATTTGAAATCCCCTCTCTGATATGTTATAAAACGGCATTGCCTCGATATCAATGGAAGATTATGTCTGATATCCTGTACAGTGTATGATGATGACGGTTATTTCAAGTAAAAGACCGACAGAAACAAGGAGCACAAATGTAAAAAAACCACATCATGAGAGATCATCTGGCAGAAACGCTACAGCACACAACCACGTCGTCACACGTATGGCAGACCAAAGGCAGCTGCAGGACAGAACACGTCATTACGTCGTATTGCATTCACACAATACACGACGAGAGAAAGAGCTCAGTTCGGCTCCATCTCACCTCCACAGAGTTCTTATGTTTTGTCTCCTGATTAAACTCCTTGAAGCATATTGTAGCGATCTGAACAGTTGTGCTGCAATGCACCATGGGAGTCTGGGGCGATGGGATTATAAATGTGTTTATTGTGGTTCATGTTGTTGAACATTGTTGTTCGTGTTTCTGACAGTTTAGCTAAATGTTATGTCGATCGAGTGAGATGTGTCGTCTGTGGGACGTCTCCGGCCACTGCTCACGCATTGTGTGCGTTGTTCCTGTGTCACAATAAAAGCGCCTTATTGTGTAAGAAAAGAGCAAATCCAGCGTCATCCTTCTGCGCAGCTCGCCACAATATTCCAAGATTTGTACATGATGTCGTACGTATACATAGATAATAATACATGTGAAGTATTTGTCATTTGCTGGTTTTGTTTTTCCCCAATATTCCTGTTAATCCCAACAATGTGGGTCAATAAACACTGGTTAGTAATTTGTTAATGCAAGTATAGTGTTTGATTAATTAGAGTTAATTATAGTGCATAAAACAGCCCGGTTCTATTATTGAACACGCAGGCAAAAATCGGTTTGTTTTTTTTATCCCCTAACATCCAAAATCCAGACAACAGTAAGAGTCTTTATTTCTACTGATTAGCTCCTGTTACTGTTCAGACGTGTTTTCTTAATGACAGAAGTGCAATTCATTAGTGGGACGATGGAACAATCTGAGCAGCAGCACCGATACCAGGCCCGCTGTAGCTGGAGATGACTTTTCTTTAATACGTGTCTTGTTTAAAACAATGGGTGCATGTTGTTGTTGTCCCCCCGCTCCTCTCTGTGTCCTCCTCCATGTGAAACATCATGTAAACTTACAAACGTTGTACAAAAGTTGACCAAAAAAAGAAAAAAAAGCTGGATTAGTAAAGCTGTTTAAAATGAATGGGCTGACACCGTTTGGAGTTTCAGTGTCCAAACTTGGCAGGAAAAAAAGGGAAGCAGGATGTTAGCTGTTCAATAACTGACACTACAGTACAGTACATATATAATGTGGGTAATTATTCGCTCCTTCACACACACACAACTAACCTTCCCTTCCTCTCTCGCAGCCTCCGGCGAGGCCGTAAATGAAAGCTGATAGCCTGCCTGCCATCAGTTATTTAGCACGGCTTAGCACATTCTCAAGAACAATGAACCCGTTGAGGATCAAACTGTCCTTAACTATTGGTTTAAAGTTGCATTATGGGCAGTAATTAATGCCTTCGTACACTGTTTATGTTCTGACTGTGTCACTCGGTGTCCGACGACCAGAGCACAGAAATGGAGAGAGAAAGAGAAGGTAATCTAAGCAATCTGTGATTAAGGCAGTCTCATAAATATTGCAGAGAGGTTTTTGGCCCCTGTTTTGGAGATAGACTGTCTGCCACAACAGTCTTGAGTTCCTAGCTCTTACTAACGGCTGCATCCCATCCCAACAGATTACAGAGCAGACGGGCGGATATGAATAGAAATGGCAAAAGAAAATCAGAGCATGATCCACAATGTTTGATCCATGGAGGAAAAATATCCCATCAAAAACAACATCGAGCAGTAATCCTCTTTGGAAGAAAAGGTCATATTTGGTTTGTGTATCAGTCCTCCACACAATGAATAATCTTTTACAGGGACCCTAAATTTAAAAAAGAAAGAAAAAAAAAAAAAAAAGCACAGCTCAGGGCAATTTAATTAAGAAATGAAAGTAAAGTAGAAGCCTATATCTAATTTGTCCACTGAAGTTAGTGCTAGGGGCTTTTTAAGCGGCGTGCAGAGATGGGGATAGACAAAGGTCCCACTTACAGAAGCTTAACTCTGTCTCACTTAATTGAGTTCATTCCAAGATAGAGAAAAAAGTCAAAGCAGATACATACATATTAGTTGGACGTAGGAGATGTGGCTCCGTCACTGTCTTCAGTGGAGTTCTGCTGATCGTTTCACTTCCTCGCAGCTTGCACGTTATGAGTTCGAGCAGTTTTGAAATCTGCCAACATAGCAAACCTCATGTACCACACACCCTTTACAGCGCTTCCAATTACTGCACTAAGGGCTTCAAGCAATCACTAGACCTTTATCAGAGCTTCACACCCCTCGCTATACAGTAACAGTCCCTCAGACCCACTCCTGCATGGAGCGCTTGCAGTACAGTATGTGGCGCTGCGTGCTCTTCCTCCTGAACTGGAAAACGGTGTAGAGGAGGACCATCATGCACAGAGCCAGAACACAGGGGATGGCGATGGCCACCGCCTTCTCTGTACCCCCCGCGCTGTCCAGTTTGATGACGACGTCCACGTCGCCGTTGTCGTAGTGGCGTTCCTCCGCCACCGGGGGGCTCCAGTCCCAGTCGGGGTCGGCGGGGAGGCCGTCGCAGCCCATGAAGTCCCTCAGGATGGACCTCGGGTAGCCGGGCTCCACACGGAGCAGCTGGTTGTTGAACTTCCAGTACTCCTTTCCCTTATAAAAGTAGGTGAAGCCTGGATGGAAGAGATGCAAGATTTATTTTGGACATTTTGTGTTTCAGAAAGATTTGCAACAAACATCTTATAATGCAAAGTGTTTGGCATCACATCACTTCTTCCAAACACAATGTCAACATCACAACACAATGTAAAAGTACTTAAATACAATCAAACGCACCGTTGGCCTTATCCACAAAAGCTCCCTGCGGTGAATCAGGGATGCCCTTCCAGATGGTGATGGGTTTAGGGTAACCTGGGTCCATGGTCCTCATGTCCTCATTGTACCTCCAGTACCTACAACAGGACAGACAGACCAGAACAGTCGATACCATGACTGCACTTTGAACCATCGCTGGCATCAAACTCATACTGAGAAACTACAATATGTCAGTGTTTAGTTTATTTAAAGGTGCCATATTATGTTACATCCGTTTCTGGATAGCTGTTGAACATATTTATGCCTCCAGTGAGTCTAGAGAACTACACATTATTTATTTCTTTCCTTTTCCCCTTTAGTTAGAAAGTGAGTCTTTGAATGAGCCATTGAGGTGAACAACAACAGGACAGCACCGCCTCCTCCTTCTCCTCTGAGCTCTTCACTAAACAGAGTAAATGCAACCAAACGTGTCCCTGCCACCCTGATAGGGACGTGGACAGCAGCTACTCATCTGGATTTAAAGCTAGAGACACTGGAGCTACCTGCTTGGAACAGGGTTGAAAAGGGACGAACATGTTGAACAACATGCTTCACATAGAATCAGCAGCTCACAATTTAGTATTTCATTTAGGAGACGCTTTTATCCAAAGCAACAAACATCTGACAGTAGATCACATTCATACACCAACAGTGACAGAGCTGCTATGCAAGGTGCTGCCTGCCATTGGGAGCAACTTTGGGTTCAGTGTGTTGCCCAAGGACACTTCGGCTGTGGAGGGGTGGAGGATCAAACCACCAACCCTACACTCAGAGGACAGCCCACCCTACCACACCGTTATGCTCAGTCTGAAGGCACTAAGCAGAACAGGAGACTGTCTCATGGTGACACTTTACTGGTTAAACTCCCACAATGCTCTCTGCTGGCCAACACCACCTTCAGTATCAAACAGCAAGAGGCTCCACCTGGTGGTACAACCAGGTACTACAGCTGATCTACGACAGATCTTCCAACACGCATGTTGTTCATCTTCTGCCTTAGACTAACTTGTTTAAAAGGCGTACACAATGGGACCTTCAAAGAAGACGCAAAGGAACAAATGTGAAAACACAAGTTGGCGACACGTAAAACACCCTGTTTTATTTACAACACTCTGACAAAGGGCCCTGTGCTGAAATGCGGTGGCTACTTAAAGATTTCTCCTCCACTAAGACCACAAGCAGTTAATTTTTATTTTCATAAGACAATCCTCTTACTCAGGGCCTGACATTAATGTGGGATGCAGTGGACTGTGTGTTGCAGTGACTCCCTGCTATCTATAACCTGCAGCCCAACGTCATTTTCAGCGAGACCTTTTAAAGATCCGCAACTGACATATTTCACATGACCAGAAGATGCAGCCGATCAATCATCCGTACTGTGTTTATCCGCCACGCGGGTTTGTTTCACAAGTAGCTGTGATTGATGATCTTCTCACACACCGGCGCTCACACACATAAATCTCGCTCTGCGGTATCTCTTGAATCAGATCACAGAGAGATGAAATCACGTTTGGGACGATGGACAGAACGTCCTGTTTGTCAAGACGAGACATCAGGAGGTTCAGGATGACAGTATCATGACAAAGCATTTTGTCAGCTCCCACCACAGGGTCCCGCGACCTCTGAGGATAGGATGGATCGTGACAGCTGAACATGTGAGTCACGCTGGCATACTCTCAAACAGTATGACCCTCGCTACGCACATGCAGGAGATAAACAACAGATTCTCTGATGTGGCTGTTTTGGAAAGACTCCCTGGTTTGACTGCAGGTAACTAAAACAATCTGGATACGGTAAATCCATACATTTACACAGGATTATGTATACACTTTCCTTTTCCAACCAAATGATGAATTCAAATATGGGATAACTGCATATATCATTTGGCACCACACAGTCATTTTACTGCCGTTATGGTTTATTCCATTAGTAAATAACCACAATCAAGACTTCAGCTATCAGAGGTCCTCACAGTAGTACTTGTTCCTCTGAGTTATTACACTTCTGTCCGGCTGTTTCACTTCACAGCAGAACTAACAACCCAAACAGACCTGTCTCCTTTGAAGAAGTAGGTTTTGGCGACATCCTCCCACCAGACAGCTGTTTCGATGCTCTGTGTGGGCATGCCCGTCCCGAACAGCGAGATGTCCTGAGGGTACGAAGGCTGGAGAGTTGTGTCCTTGAAGACCCAGAAACGGTTTCCTAAAATACACGGACAAAGTTGGAATGCGCTGGGACAAAGACGTTTTCATAAATATGACCTCAAAAACTCGCACTAGACCAAACTGTGCCGGCTTCATTCAAGCCTTCTGCGTGCCGGTCGGCCTATTAATTCTGTCCACGTGGTTTCAAAGGTTCGACATGTTTAAAGGACGTCTGAACGGCAGAGAAACTATGCGGTGTTATGTATAATACAATAAACAGCGATGGATGCTCTGAAGGCAGGTCCACTGAGGCTTGGTGTTTTGAGTTTCATTGAAGCTATTGTTGCATTTAATTCAGTTTGATCACGAGTGCCTCGGGCTGAGCGAGGAGAGCTGCATGCGGCGGTGCGCCTGCAATAAGTAGCTAGACGCTCACATGCACACGCCCAGAAACACACACACACACACACACACACACACACACGGTTAAGTCCCTCTGAGTGAATAAATAAAGCATGAGGCACTCTGATCCCACTGGGTGACAGATGTCATGTTAATCTGCCTGATGGACGGACGCCTCCACCGGACCTACACCCGCTCTCCTGCCACACAGAAAGCAAAACAGCCTCACGGTCGGCCGATCTCATGCAATCTGATAGAAGACCACTGTGTGCTGAAGAGCTCACACTTTCACGTGCACTTAAAGTCATGGTGAGCAATAAAACAAAGGGAAAAAGACAGTTTGATTGTCAGTATATGAAAATATTCTAATTGCTACATCGTGTCAGCAGGTGAAAGGGATTTGTGTAATTTTATTTTATTGATTCTGATAACAATTATAAAAAAGAGAAATAAGATTCCCTACAAAGTCGTCTCCTTTTTACATTTTTTGCGCTTTATGCCTCCACAAATTCTGAATGTATTTCCCTCCTCATGAAGCCAATCTTCAAAACAGTTTATATCCATGTTTGCAAACCAGAATTATTTGTCTAATCGGCACATTGCTATATTTTTGGGTTGTCACTGAGCTGAACACGCTGGAGGTACGACGTGCATCACGGCAGCCGCCTGCTCCTGTATGAGCACAAAAAGGGGATCCATTCATAAAAACATGGCTCCACAGCACAACCTGTGGTCAAGTGCTTTCAATATGTAATGATAAAACACAGAAGAAACCACAGAATTCTAAAATGTGGATGCTTCACACACAAGATCACTAATTCAGCATCCGACATCATGTAAAATACGGTCACCGTCTCTCCTCGTCGTACTGAGTTATGATGGTGAATAACGGCTTCGCAGAACATTACGATGTCACTGTGAAGCCGATCTTTGACCTTTTGGATATAAAATGGCATCACTTCACCTTTTAATCCTGTTAGACATCTGTGAGAAATTTTGTCATAATTTGTTCATGAGACATGTTCATGAGAGGTCACGGTGACCTCTGACCTTTGGCTGACATTCTCCTCCTTCATTGCAAAGCCATGAAACTCTCTCCAGATGTTCCTGATGCATCACATTCATCAGACTGAGACGTACAGTACATACATACTGACAAACAACAAAGTGCCTCCAGCTACAGCAGTCAAGCTTTAAAAATAACCCAAATGCAGGAAGAGGTTGGTTCCATTTTATTACCTTTGAAAAAGACAAACTTCCCTTCGCTGTTTTCGTACACGGCATCAATTTTAGGAGGCAAGCCTTTCCAGAAGTAGTTGATCTGCATGGGGTAGCCAGGGACCACCGAGTTGTCCCGCACCCTCCAGAACCACTGGTCCTAAACACAAGACAGGATCATGAGCGTTCTGCTCTGAAACCATCAGCCACGGTCACTCAGACCGATGATCCACTTTACCTTGAACACGAAGAGCTCCTGTCGGAGGATGGCCAGCGTGTTGAAGCCTCCGTCGCAGATGTTGGGCTTGGAGTTGGGGTTGGAGGGTTTGGCCCCCTGCGGAGGCCGGTGGGGTCTGGCATGGCGGTCGTGCTTACGTGGGTCTGAAGGTGGGTGAAAGCGAGGAGGCGGGACCGTGGGTGGGGGCCTGGTGGGCTGTGGAGCTCTATCTGGAGGGCCTGAACACGCAAAAACACAAAGTACGTCATCCTCCTTCCTCGTCTTGATCAATACTTTTCTTCTTTGTTTGCAAGATTGAAATTTCAAATCAATTCGCAGTGTTTTTGTCCAATGCACCTTTTATTTTTGCTGAGATCATTTAGCCTCCTTGGTGCCACGTTGGTTGACTCATGTCGCCTTGAATAGACTGATTGACTGCCCTCTTTAACAGCTGACAAATGCTGCTTACTGGCATTCAACCCAATATGACTGATGCAGTGGCATTTGCGACAGTGACTAAGTCACTTCTGAGCCACAGTATTGATATTGTTTTGTCATACGTCTTCAAGTACTGGACCATTACCAGATAGAGGTGCTCTGCTCTTTGTACAGCGCTCTTCCTGAGGGCTTTCTAAATACTTCATTATCTGAAAATAAACTGCATCGTGCAACGTTACCATAGATTTTCTGGATGCCCTGCAGGTCGTCATGAGGTAGTTTGAAGTTCTCCGTGTCCATGTACTGGTAGAAAGGAGCCATGATAGCAGTGGGGTCGTTGGAGTGCTCCAGGCCGAGGGCATGGCCCAGCTCGTGAACCGCAACCAAGAACAGGTCGTTACCTGGAGAGGGGAGGAGGAAACGGCACTGAGACGGCTCCATCACATAGCGGATAATCAGCAGGTACAGCAGGTGGACGTGATGCACTCATCAAACCAAGAGGTAGAAATGGAAAAGCACAGAAACACACAGAAAACTACACCGAAAAACAAAAACATAAGATTAAAAAAAGTGCATTTCTGTCATTACCAGGCGTCCGTATAGCTACAGTATAAATTACTGCTTCTTTTTCCCCACGAGTAGATATCACAGAACATACTGCAGCGCAAGTGATGGGAAGGAAGCTGTGGGGGCATATCTAGTCAAATTAAAATCAACCTTATCCCAGGTCTTGTGGTGATTACTTGATTAGTCAATCAGAAAACAAATCAGCAGCAGTTTTGATAATCAGTTCTCCGTTTATCAGGCAGAAATGCCACACATGTGTTTATCTGTTTGCCGGCTCTCACAGATGAGATTGTTTCAGTCATTGTAAGTTCACAGGATTCTCTGGAGCCTTTTTTTTTTTAATCATTATTATCTTGTAGCCTTTTACAGACAAACCATTAAAACCCAGATTTACAAACAGCCAGTTAATTAATCAACAATGAGAATATAATCATTGCTGGCTGCCCTCTGATTCAGAGGTTGCTGCCGCTGAGCCACTGTGGTGCAAAACGTTGCGAGTGAAGATTACAGGAGGTAAATTGTCATCCGGGAGCGCTTTTTTTTTTTCTTTTTTTTTCCCGTCCTTTGCTCTATAAAAGCAGATAAGCCACATGTGAGCCGGAGCTCACAGAGAGCAGAGGGACACACACTCACGTTGCTGCCCAGGGCGATCAGAAAACAGCCAGAATACAAACACACTGCACCTGAACACATGCAAACGGAAAAAAAAAAAAAAAACCTGGGCCTACGTCATCCAGCAACGCACACGTGCAAAAATAAAAACACAAAAGCGCCACAGCCGGTGTATACGATCAGCATTCAGCTCACAGCGTCAACCTGATTTAGAGAGGAGTACAGCATTTACGTACAGCTTGTGACTGAAGCTGTCCCCAGGAGACTGCTGCCCTTTACAACATGATATCCACTCCTGCCAGCACAGAGCAGCTCCTGACCCTCAGCCAGCAGCTAAAAGGTTACACCTCCACCCCCCCACCCCACCCCATTTATCTAGCACGACCAGCCTCTTCCACCTGACCAAAAATGTCCCATAAGGACTCCCAGGAGACGGGCCGGAGCTACCATTAGCGCACATGTCAACATGCAACATTTACAATTGCACCGCTGTGAAAGCCCATTAAAGGCTGCACAGCTTTCCAGACACACGAAAACCGGCCTCGGCACGCCAAATGGATAACCGTGGGACGCTGCACAAGGGTGAATCTGACTCGGGAGTCTGAGACAATTACCATTAGAGTATGAGAACAAAAGAGAGGCAGACGGAGGGCGAGGAGCTGATGGGTGGCGAGCACTTTCCCGGAGCAAAGCAGCCCTCCTCCTCCTCCTCCCCCCAGTAACGGGAGGAAGGATGGCGCATGGGTATTAGCGAAGCAGCCTGGTGGGGCACTGACAAGCCTGGCACCCTGCAGGTAGGGTAATTAAAGTGTGCTCCGTGGCGAGGGAAGGTGTCTTGTTTTCCTCCCTGAATAACACAAGATAACGTAATTTCCAAATTCCGTAATTGAATGAACACGTAGTTTGTCCGTCCGCAGACTTCTCACGCCGCCGTCGAACTCAATGAGAGCTGAATAACTGTAATCATGTGCCAGCAACCAGTGTCTTAAAATAGCAGGGCTTTCTATCCTGTCATCTGAAGAGCTTATTATTCAGAAAAAAAACACAACAAAACCCTGACAGATGGGGTGATGCGTCTTTACAGAGCACAGCCGGATCAAAGACATCTCTGCATTCTTTGTTTTTGGTTAAGCATCCCTCATTCCCTGCCCTGCGATACCATCTCTGTCATATTGCCCTCCTGCCCAGTCATCTGTATTTCCACGATTTGCTTTCCATCAGCCCTTATCTGTCTCTCCTGATGACTGCTCTTTTCATTCTGTCTCCCTCTGCTTTCCTGCTAACATTCATCTCTTCCCTCCATACTTTTGCTCCGCTGTTGACGGTCCTTTGTCACCCTGTCTTCCCCCGGACGCTTTCTGTCGCTCACAATTTGGGCGTCACTTTCTCTTCCACTCACCATCATGGTTGGGGTTCCCCAGGGTCCAAGGCTCGTCGGAGTCAAAGTGTGTGTCCCCTCCTATCCCTGGGCCTGGAAAGTAGGCGTGGGCGAGGAATCCTCCCTCGCCGTCGAAGGGCGAGCTGTCGCCGTGAAAACCTGAAGCGAAGATGATGGTGATGTCCACGTCACGCCTGCCAGTCTCCAGGGCGCTGTACGGAACGGCCTCGAAGCGCAGCGGAGTCACGCCCTGCCACACGTCAAACGCCCGCCGGATGGCATCGTGGGTCTCCCGGGCGCCCACCTTCGGCGTGACATTTTTTATGCTGTGGGAGGAAACAAAACAAGTAAACCAACTGCAGAGAGGTGGAGGCTAAAAATGCTCCACAAGATTACATAAAGAGTTCCTAACAGTGGAAGAATGTAAACACTGCAGCGATCAGCTGAAACTACAGGCAAGAAAATATTCAAGAGTGGAAATAAAACACATCCTGCACCAGCCCCTCGCCTTCTTGTTATCACATTAATTTTGAGTGAACATTTTCCCTTCTCAGAATGAGGAGACACTAAAAAAAAAAAAGAGAGAGAGAGAAAAAGTTGCACTTGACACAACTATTTCAAGCCCAGCAGCTTTCACTGAACTTTTAACACGGCAGTCGTTATCAGTCTCTGGCAGGCAGGGAGGAATGGGAAATCTTCTGCCTCTCTCTCCACTCATTTTCTCGAATAAAGTGCAGTCAGCAGCAGCACTGGCTCAGCACTGATTGACATTCCATTAGGAGAGGTGGCTCATCAATTCAAATTCAGGGAGGAAGGAAGGATTTGAATAAATTGACAGTGTTATCGTCTATTACTGCAGTAACCTGTCAATTTGCAGTTGTGCCAGAGACCCGTTTATCGGCTCTCCTCAGAACCTATTAAACGCGTGAGCTTAATCAGGCCAGATAAGATGAGAGTTTGAATATTTCGGCTGAGATTATGGACAATTTTAACTCGAAATTTCTCCAACGAGGGAGAGAAAAAGCCGTCGCTCGTCTTGCCGCTCTGCTAAAACAGTTTGTTTCGTTTTACGAAAAGAGAAAGAATAAATGGAGGAGGGCTAAAATAACAACAGCCTGATCCCGCTTTCCATTTCGCCTGCGAGCTATTTATACGCTGGAGAGCAAACATACTCACAGCACACATGGGAAAATGTATGTGTTAATCTATGTGTTTTCGGTTGTGTGATTGTCACTATATTTTTGTGTGCGAGTCCCCGCACGCGTGACGTATTTGCCCAGTCTCTATGACAACACAGGGCATGTGATCCCAGGTGGTTAAGCAAGAGGAGATGAGAGGCAGAGGAGAGCTGACAAAATTAACACTGGCACGTCTGAATGTGAACTCTACATGCAGCGCTGCTAAAATTGAATGGTCTCTATGACAACTGCCTCCACGTTCTCTCACCTGTAGGTTATGTGTGCACGCTGCCACCTCTGTCCTGTCAGCGCGTATCTCCGCCTCCGTGACCTTGACGCACTTTTAAATTTGTCCGGAACTCCGCAGCGTGGCTTTTGCATCCAACTTAAAGAGTGACGAGGAAGAGAAGAGAAGAGAAGAGAAGAGAAGAGAAGAGAAGAGAAGAGAAGAGAAGAGAAGAGAAGAAAAGTTGACTCAAGTTTGCTCAACTCAAAGTTTCGATCACAGTTTGCATCACAACACAACATAAAACAAAGCGAAGTGAACTCAGCAGTTCTCTTCCTGACAGGTGCCAGAGAATCACAGCAGGAAAACAAGAGATGCAAAATACCGCTAAACTACTCCAGACTGCAGTCCTTCATGTGCCTCATTCATACCACATCAGATGCCACAACAGAACACAACAGACACAATACATAGGCAAAGTATTAATTCTCACCTCAGGGTGATATCACTGCATCATCATGCAAAATGAGAAGAGGGGAAAGCGTTAAAACCTTCACCTGGGGTTGCTTGAGGCGAGGTGATGGGGTGAAATAAACATGTCTGTCTCTGTCCTTCACTAATCCATTGAAATATTGATAGCCATTCCTTCTGCATTTTAAATGAATGAGGGAAGCATATGCATTAACATGACATCAGTAGCCTAATGAAAGTGCACATGCTCCTCAGCTTGTGTTTGTACGAGTGCATCCACAGCATGTGTTAATACTCACTCCTTGGTTTTCTCATCCAGTGTCCCTGTGACATTGAGACCATAGACGCGCTGCATGGCAGCGATGGCTGAGTGCATGGTTTGGGCCGAGCGCAGGACAGACATTCCCGGTTCTGTGCGGGGAAGGTAGCCATACCTCTGTAGCCATCCCTGCAAAGAGTAGAAGATTTGCGCCTTCACATTGTGGCTGCACAGACTTGCGTTTGCTTCTTTACTGGGAAACTCATATTTGAGAGACGGAGGGAGGAATGACATATAGGACATGACGTGCAAAGAAAGGTCCTGGGACACAACCAGGATGCTGCACATTGTGCTGTTCATTCAGATAATAAATGAGTTAATGATCCACAACAACATAAATGCATCAACCGAGCTGTTGTACTGTGTGCAATACATCAAAAGTGAAAGGCTATAAAACAGAGAGTCTGTTCTTCTCATGCTTTTCCATTAGCTGCCACTATGAACTTGACTCTCCTTCATTCTGTGTTTGATTAGATTTGGTCCCACATTCATCTTTCAAACCATTCTGGAGGGTTGTCTGGTGCATACACAGGCCTCAGACATGCCTCCACCACAGCGGCTAAAGTACGTCGCTTCAGAGCACCAATGCTATTCAGTTAGTACTGTTTGTCAGCCAGGTTTTCCCTGGATGTCCAGTTTCCTGGGACAAAGTACGAAGGGGGGTGTCAAGAATCCAAACCTGCTTCTTTAACCTCCAGTGCACTGCCAGTCCGACAGCACAAAGCCAACATGAACATAAAGTGCATCACTCGCTGCATCCCACAGGAGGCTGTGACTAACCATCGCTACAGCACTCCTTCGTTATCAAAACAACACAGAATCAGCTGCTGTGGTTATATTTAACATCACAGCGTGCCTCAAGTGTTTAGAAGCCTTTTATCGACGTTAGTAGAATTCACTGTATTACACAATAGTCTGTTGTTAGCTGGAACGCTCCATCCAGCTGTGGTTTAGGTTCAAACCTATCTGCTCATAGACTCTGTGTACGACAGTGCAAACAGCATTTGAATCCCTCCTGGTGACCTTAGTCAGTGTTTGTGTCTTGCGGCTTCCAGTCAGCGTACATGTGCAGGACTGTGGCCCTGCCTCCACTTGCCCTACAAAGCAGAGGATGTGACTTGATCCAGAGAGGAGAGGTGAGGCCGAGCACCATCCGGGGGTCAGCGCCGGACTCCATCCTGAAACCGAGGGCCTTGAAGTGCCCACACCGTCTCCAGCTGTCCACATGCCAACCAGCTGCCTCCCTATCACCACACAGCCTATGAGATATGTTCCAGCTAGCTAATCTGACTAGCTGTCTCCTCTGTCCATCCCTCCCCCTTCTGCCTGCATCCCTCTCTCTGCTAAGCTAAACGCCTTGTTTATCCCTTTTCCCCCTCTCTCTCGCTCTCTCTGCTGTGGGTGTGTTTCCTGTGTGAGTTGTGTTTGTTGAAAGGCACAGATTTCAGCCAGAGATACATCGGGCAGATTTTAGTGAGCCGTAAAATTGAATAATGATGTGTGTGTGTTAGTGTCAGCCTCACTGTTTAATTTGTTCAGAGTGTGGGAGGGGAGCCTGTGGTGAGGATGGAAATGACATCAATTAATAAGGTACAAAAAAGCAAATCCTATTATGCAACTTGTGCCTGTGAATGTTTAATCTCCTCCAACACCAGAAATGCTGCCAAAGCACATCTGACTTCATGATGACCTGTCAAAAAAAGTATATGTGGCAATGAAAGGCAGCTGATGCTGTGAGGCGGCTCTGCTGAAACAGGCTGTTCTCAGGGCTTCATATGTGGGCTGCACATGCAGGACCAGCGGGCTCACTTCACGGACCGCAATGCAATAACCTCAAACGAGCATCCTTCTGTTTCATTGCACCCTACAAATGAGGAATGCGCGATATTTTCTCCGTGCAGTGCGTGAGCCGTCCTGATAGGCTTACAATGTCTCCATGTTATGCGTTATGGTAATTGTGCCCACCGATAGCGTGGGGAGTCAGCACAACCGAAATGTTTTTCACGCTGAGGCAGATGATGTGGAGGAGAGAGCTCGGTCATTTGTGATGCTGTGGGAAGGGAAGGCCATTTATCTTACCTCAACGCTGAACTGATGATGCTCCTCTCCGGACACGGCACACGAAATCCAAAGCAAAAAATGCAAGCAGAATGCTGCCGCGTAAAAGCAATCCGATGGTTTTCTTTTACTGGAGGATACTAAGGTCATAATGACCCGTTTTTCCCGAGTGTTTATAGGAAGAAGCCGCCCGTCTGCTTTGGCTCTTGTGTCAAATGAAAACCATCGGGCGAGCTGTCAAGGCAGATTCAGACGAAACCGAAGAAAAGGACCCCGCGTTTTATAAAAAATCCCGATGCTGCTATGAAACGTTCCGATGTCAAGCAGAGATAACTCGGCATGTTAGAGCCGCTGCCCTCGCCATTCTTATTTACATCAGGGGCTACATCTATCCAGCAGCATCAATGGCCATGTACAGTACCCAGTCTGCGCAAGATAGGCTCCCTCCCGACTCGACGCCTGCGCTTTGATTTCTCACACAGCGCAGCGCTGCTTGGCAGCATCAGGAGAGCTGCCCTACAGAGCGCATGAGAGATGAAATGCCATCCTCCAGAACTGCCTGTACGCTCACTTCTGCACTACAAAGGCTGCGGCTTTTGTGCAATTTTAAGTGCACACCTATAGTCAGATAGTTAGATGTTAAATCCCTGATGAGGAGCCGAGGCCCGGGTCAGGATGCTGGACTGATGCAGGCTGCATTCCTCTGCTGCTGCGCGCACACGCCTCAGCCAAACGGAAACCAGCCTTTGTGCACTGACAAAGCTGAGCAATAGTTTTGTAATAAACAGAATATTGCTCGCAGAAAACCAACAATTGCTACCGTAGTAAATCAGCCACACTTTTCACATCTAACAAAAGCTGATTTTTTTCCTAATTCTGACCACTCATCTCTTTGACCCCTGCGCGCCCCAGAGTCCAAAACAGAAGACCTGACAGCTTCCTGAGCTCATACAGCACTTCACAGCACAGATATGGTCTCCATCACTGGACAACAACCTGCTGCCAGCAACATGAGCCACAAGATGGCAGTGTTTCCTTGAGGAACCAGCAGCAGTAGGAGTTAGTGAGGACACAGGAAACACTGGAACCTGAATCCACCCCTCATAGAGTGATGAGCTGGGAAAATGATCTGACACTGACCAGATACGACAGGAAGAAAGGGAGTAGAAGAAGTTCATTAAAAAAGAATCTTAATCACACTAAACATTTTTTTAATGTTTAGATGCAGTACATTCAGGAGGGGTGTGTGTGGAAGTATTCAGTAAAAATACAAATACCTCACCGTGAAAATGCTCCACTGCCAGTAAAAGCTCTGCATTCAAAGTCTTACTAAAATAAAAGCATGTAAGCAGTTTTTAAAAAAGTAAAAAGCTGTGCAGGAAAACTGGCCTGTCGGTGTTTTTACAACCATATATGATGTTTTTGGATTCGTATTGCGGCTGCATATGTTGTATTTTACTGCTGTGGATGTTTAAGCTCGCGCTCACTTTAACGACTTTATAAACTGTCGCTGCCAAACAATAAAAAAGATCCGATTTTTATTAGAAAAACAGCTCTGTTTTCAGCTTCAGATGCATTTTCCTGCTACTTAAAGAGTAACTTAAACAGAAAAAGGACATATCTGAAGGAGTAGGAAGAATGTTATCGAACCACAGAGGGACGTTTAATCTTTTAGTTCATAGCAAAAGTTTAAAATCAGTAAATCTGGAGATGAAGTCCACTGCTATTGAAATCTGCAAAGCTGGTGGACGAATGTAGTTGAGTGAAAATATTTGCTTCAGAGATGTTGTTGAGCAGAAGAGGAAAGTTGCACAAAATGGAAAAACTCCAGCAAAGTCCAAGAATCTCAAACGTGCTGTGAGCGCTTTGCTAAAAGAAGTTGGTTAGATTCCATCACTGCTAATATGCAAAACGGATCAGGAATTAAACATTTTCTACACATCAGCTGTCAAACTGTTTAACAATTCATGATGTGGAGGCATCAAGGAACACCGAGTGGCCCGGTTCACATTTAAGCCTCCCAGTGTGTTTTGGATCCATCCGGCACTTTCCTGTCTGTGGACCGAGCTTTTTTAAAAACACCGTCTCTCCTCGGAGCAGCGTCTGAATCTGGTGTTCCTCTGGAGGGAGTGAAGCTACCTGCAGAGAAATCTGTGCTCATTATATCAACAATCTCATTCTATCAATCAGTTGCGTAACAGTCGGTTGGAATGAACATGGTGTGCCAAGCTGCCATATTTGTGGCCTGACACGGTCCGGTGCAGAATGTGCAGCGCTGCAGCCAGCAAAGCTAACAGCTTTTGGGCTTTTTTAATAACACTTGGGACTGACTCAGAGATTCCTGTAGTGAGTTCTAATCACTGCTTTGAATGGATTTGACGGAGTGGGCAAGTTACGGGAAAGCTGGTAGCAGCTCTGGGAACGAAGCTCCAACTGTGCAGCAGAGAAACACTTCAGTGCACGTTGAAGGCCTGCAATGACGAAGGCCACGTCCAAGATTAGCAACGCTGCCTTAACGAGATTCAGCACAGAGCCAGTTTACCTGTCACAAAGATTCTGATTTAATAATAGTTGTTAATGCAGATATAACGGCTGTTTATGTTTTATTCTGTCATGTAGAGACCAGCTGTCTGACTTGTTCATATATAAACAGACCATCCAGCATCATGAGGTGCTGTAACACCACTCAGCTCTCCATGTTTCACCGTTCTGAACAGGAATGAGGAATTTCAAACTGAATCCACCTTTTTATAGCCAAACCTGAGCAGCTCACTGGGCTTCTCTGAGAAACTAATCCAGCATCACATTCAACCACTAAAACTAATGTTTCTGTTCAGGAATGCAAAGTACATAACAATAATCTGACATCTTTGTCCAGAAATAATAATGTGCTTTACTATTTTTGTTTGTTTGTTTGTTTTAATGGAAAACAGTAAATTTGAAAATTATTAATTTATATAATATTATTAATAATTGCCAATGCTGTTAATTTAGGGCAGCTGTCATTGGGTGACATTGGGTGGAGATCTAATACATTAATTCATTCATTCATTCTGCTCCACCAGCCTCTACAGTTCATCTCCTCTTCACAGATCTTCTCATGCAGCTTATAAAACTCAGTGTTTGTAGATTTGTTCCTACCTTCTGACTGTGACTGTGTCCGGATCCGTCTTTATAGTAGAACCTCAGCGTTCCAACCAAAATGGACCGGAAGTTGACGATCACGTGTCCTGAATCTCTTCCATCCTCCTCAGACAATTTTAAAATCCAGTAAGAGCTTCTAGCAGTGAAATCCAACCTCCAAGCATGGACTTTTGAAGTGGTTTGACTACTTTCAGTTCATAACTTTAAGTTTAGCTCCTCTGAGATTTAACCTCCTTCATTCTGCTCCAGCTCCAGAAGTCCTCCCCTCTTCATCAGTCTCTCCTCTAAACACCATAAACTCTAATTCAAACTGCCTGTTACCTGTCCTACAGCTTCCGGGTTAAAGTCCTCTGACTCCGCCCACCATAATGACATCATAGCCGAGCACCGTGACTGCTCCAGCGCCCCCTGCTGGTGGCCCTTCTCCTCCAGTTTCACCTCTGTAGTTTCATACTGCAGGTCATGATAGTAATCTGGTTAAAGTGAGGTTTGTTCATGTGAATCAGGCTGTGGAGGAAAAGTTCTGATGGTTGGGTTGAAACATCTGTTCTTCTCAAGAGCACGATTCAAGGCTGAAAAATAGGTGTGAATGTGAGTGCGTCTTGTTGCCTGTCTCTGTGTTGGCCCTGTGATGGACCGGTTACCTGTCCAGGTGAACCAGTCCTTCACCCAAAGTCTGCTTAGTTAGGCTCCAGCCACCCCGTGACCCTACAGAGACCGTGTATAGAAAATGGATGGACGATAGAGACACTCAGTTCAGGACGTAGACTTCATGGATGCTTCTTTTCATTCTTCCGTTCACTCCCAGTGGCTCCGTCTGGAGTTCAGTGAAAACATAAAACACATTGTGTTTGGAGTCAGACTGACTTTGGTTGTTTAGTGACACAAAACAAAACAAACTAAAAAAAAAAAAAAACTGGCCGAGCCCCCCATAATCATCAACAATTTGCTGACTATATAATTATACAAAATGATAGCTAAATATTATAATATTTAGAATATTGCATTGCACTGCCCTGCAGTGTATGAACATGTCCTCTACCTGAATGCCATCACTTATCACTCTAAGGCCATGAATGGTTCATATTATACATAATCTGTGATGACTACATACGACTGGAGCACCGTGTCATGTCAGTTCATGAAGGTCGTACATGCTTGCACTACTTTAAAGGATGTGTGTCATACTTGACGCCACTCATAGTCTCATATCTCACACAGTATATTTCCTTTGTATCAAGTCACTATAATGGTGCCTTGCCTGATGTTCATCTGTGAGCATCCAGCATGCTGCTGATCTCCTGCATCCAGATGTGAAGGTTGTGCACGCGTGTACATATTCAAAGGAAATGCATCAGTCTTGACCTCTCACACAGTCTCATCTCACAGTACACTTCCTTTGAAGTCACTATGATGGTGTTTTGCTAGACGTTCATCTGTTTGCATCCAGCATTCTGCTGATTCTATGAGTTCAGATGAGAAGGTCATGCTACTCCCATGAATTCAAAGGAAATGCAACATGCTTGTCTCTACACATGGGCTAATTATATTAAAATTGATTTCATTTCAAGGTGGCTCTGCTCTTCTGGGGGTTTGTGATCTGATGCTCAGATTGTTCCAGAGCATCACAAAATGCATGTCGTTCCAAAATAAATGGTTAAGTCTGTGTCCTGTCTGAATTGTGTAATATTGTGTAGATTCCCCACGTGCCACCAAACAGCTCTGGCCTGTTGGGTAATGAACACATCACCTCTGGAGGTGCTGAGGACAAACGCTGCTATCAGGGAGTGAGAACAATGTTCAGGTGGCTGGTTGGCTCCAGGGCTGTTGTGATTGGTCCCTTAAAGGAAAAGGCACATGATCACAATAATAGCAGAATGACAATGAGGTGAGATGCAGAACGGTCTGACGAGGGACAAAGCAACATCTGTGTAAAGACCAAGACCCGAGGTTTCCCAGAGGAACGTTGCACTGTAGCATCAATAGAGGATCGATTCACTTCACCT